TGTGCTGAGCTGCAGGTTATGTGCCTGACAGTGGCCTGGGGGCCAGAGCTCACACAGCACTGCAAACACAAGCCAAGGTGTGCTTTCCCTAAAGCAAACACGGTGCTAGTGACTCCTGGTAACATGGCATGCCTCAAACACATTCTCCTTGCTATTCCTTAAGTCTAAAGCCATCAGAGCTAAAAGAAGCCCCTAAGCAGCAGAGGAAAGCAGAGCATAAAGAACAGAAAGGCGTCAGGAGCAGGATGAAATACAAACAGCACAGTGCAAACAGTTAGAAATGAAGCCAAGACTTTCTTCTCCAGAATTTCTAACTGATTCAACATAATAATTCCTTGCTAGTCTCCTTTTCCTTCTGATCAAGAATCTGGTAAGGATGAACAAGAGTGTAAATACAGATCTAAGTGCAGTTATTTGTTTTACCAAAGACTGGGAGATCTAGGAATAATATCACACTTAATAATGTATGTAAATTCATTCCTAACTTCATTCATTCATTTTCAAGAGTTACTAAGCTACCATTACCATGTAATTAGATATAAAACCACTACGATTTTCAGTGAGTATTTTTAGCTGTTCTTGGATAAGGAAACAAAACTATTAGTATCTGTATAGTCCCATTAAACAAGATTCAATTGCTTTTACTATTTAGCATTGGTTCTAAACATCACTGTCAGGGACTATACAAGACTAAATACAGACAAACATAGCATAAATACTGCACACGAAAAAAACTCAAAAAATACAAACTAACCAAAAGAGTTTCTACAAAAAAAGCAAATATCAACAATTACTTAATTGAAATCTATAAAAATAATCCATGTCAGTGAAATGAAAAAGTGGGCAGTAAAAATAAAAAGCATGGGCTTTGTTTAAAAGGTTAAATTAAAAAGCAGAGTTGGTAGCATCTCACAACCATTATTTCAGCAAATTATGAATGAATTCACGAGCAAGTGCAATGGGCAGCTGCTCCATGCAAAATGCAGGAGCAACAAAGTGAGGACAATGTGTGGGATTACAAATAAAGCAAATTATTTCAGTCCAATTAGCAAAGGATATTTGTCAAGGGTAAAGAAGTAATTCTGTAGCATAAATGACAGTTTCAAATCCTCAGAGAAGTTCTGAAGGTGTTTCAAGCTTCTGGGGCAGAGGTGAGAGATGGAATGCATAGTCATGTAGCCAGCAGTTTTCAGAGGCTCACTGAGCAAGCCCGGGGTTACAGAAGCAGCTGTGTGTTAATCAAATAACAACATTTCCTGCAGAGTTTGTTCAAAAGGCCAGAACAGACAGATCCTACCAGAAGCAGCCAGAAGCAGCTCCTCAGTGAAAGAAACACTTTTCCTCAGAACAACTGGGCTGACATGGCTACAGTGCAGAGGTTTAACGCTAGGCCCCGAGAGGAGGAGACAGGACTGTTTTACATGTGGGGAGTCACAAGAGAGTGTAGGGGAGCTGGGAAACAGGAAAATCCTAGGTCCCTGCGGGGAAGGTGCTGTGGAGGAAAGTAATAGAGACAAAGATGCAGATTCAGAAGATGACTAAAGAAACGGACAAAAGAAATCAAAATGAAGCACTTTTGTTTTCTCTAAATGAATCAACACTTAGTGCAAATTATTTCTTGACGTACAAAGAAATGGAACGACAATACAGCTCCACAACGTCCATGAGAAGCATGTCTTTAAAAATCATTACTTGATTAATGTTATATTGAAATTAATTTTTAGAGACATGGTAATTAAACATTGTAAATGCCAATCAAAATTTGATAGCAAATAGTATGGAATAAAACCCAAACAACAGAGTCTCTGCACACACCTAATCTGATTACTTGCATTATCTCAGTAGAAAAGGTTATTTTCCAAAGGGGCATGGATATGTTTTATGATTTTCTAGAGTAATAAATATTGTAGAATTCTAAGTTCCCATCAGGTAAAGGAGTTCCCACCTTACCCATTTCCTCCAAACATATGCTATGGCACATCAGAATGTATTATCTGATTAAAAAATATCATGCTTTTTGTCAGCCTGATTCTGTTCATTTGCAGTGGCATAAAATATATCCCTGCTCCCAGAATTCTAACTTCAACCCCAAATTCAGCAAATGCATTTATAGACCAGAATGGATAACACAAGCACAAGTGCATTTCACAGGAGACACCAAGGTAATATTCTCCAGATTTGGAGCTATTGAAAATGAGATGCTTAAGCAGATCCAAGCTGCAGCCTCCAGTGTTCTGTTACTCCTACTGGAAATGGTGGTACCTGCACTGTTCCTCCAGGTTCTGTCCATCTCAGACACGTCAGCACACTAACTACCTGACTGACAAATGAAGGCAAATACAATATACTGCACAAACAGCAGAAAATACTTCTTCTTGCACATCAGGCAACCTGAGTAATGGCTATCTCGAACCTGGTAACATCCCATCTGTCACATGAGAAGTTTGCATTTCTTTAACCTTATTTAACTACTGAGATCACCAACTTATACACAGATACCTGAACTTGGTAACAGCCTCAGGAAATGAAAACAGAGGTCTAAACACATACAGTAATTGTTAAGAACAGCATACTGAATTTAGTATGTGATGGAAGTGTCTTCTGCATATCACCAAATTTTGAGTAAAACAGATTACTCATGAGGTGTTCTCCTTTAATCTATCAAGATTCAAAATTGAGTTTGTCATAGCAAGACACAGCATGTTTAAATGTAACTAGAAAATCCTCTCTGGACAAATTTCAGCAGCAGAGTTAAAAGCTGCCAAAAAGGCAGTGCTAATAAGCAAAACTATGCCCACTGTTTGCTTTAATATTAGAAAGATAGCTAAAAATATCTTTACATACTTGAAAAATCCCTCCAAACAAGAGGCACCAATGGCAATCTGTTTCAGTTCTGAAGGAGCTGACTAAAACCAGCAAGATTTATCACCTACCTAACATTGCCAGGAAATACATGAGGCTGCTGCTTTAAAGCCTTCACACATTCCCAGTGAGCTGCACAAGCCTAAACTCACAACTCTTACATCTAGACAGATGACCACCTATGTCACATTTAAATCCTGTACATGACATCATCTTTACCATGGAAATCTGATCAAAAGAAACAGGTTTTCAAACATTCAGTAAGCCAAACACCTGAATTTGGGGTGCTCCCAGGAAATAAGCATCCAGTTACACCTGTAGGTCCTTTAACTGAGTGACCACCACAGGTTACCCTGAGGACAGACACCCTTTAAAAAGAACAAAAAATTTAAGTGCACTTTTTTTTGCTTCTTTGTTTTAAAAATGGGACAGAGAAGACAGCACTAAGAAAGACAGCTTGCTAATTGGGAATGTTTTTAACACATCTAGGGAATAAACTACATGAAATATTTAATACAACTCGATTTGTATGTAATATTCAATTCACCTGGTAGGAAAAATTCTTGAAAGGAGTGCTATCAACTACCTTAATATGCTTAAAATTTGACTCATTATATGGAGCCAAGGATGTTCTGGGCTTCAAACACCACAATTTAAAACATCATTTAAAAACTAACCATACTTCTATATACAAGTTTACAAAATACTTTGCCCCAGAGTAGCAAAATTCACAGCATTGGTCACAGAATGAAAAATAAACATACAATAATTCTTTGAGTTTTGCTGACATTATTACTGACATGATTTTAACCACAGACTAAAAAATAAGGAGGGAGAAAAAAACAAGTTGAAAAAAATTATGATAAAGCAATGGGAAAAGAAAAATACTTTTTGAAGATGGCTGGATTACTTCTAATGTAATTTAAGCTACCTTGAAAGTGTATACTGTGTATGTAAAGCTATTTCCATGTACCAAGAGAATAAAAAGACAGGGGCTGCTACATTTCTAGTTTTGAATTTGCAAAAGGGAGTTTCAAATTAGAAAAATGCAAGCAGTTAGCTTAGGGCCCAACACAGTAGGCTTGAAGGCTACATGGTTTTAGTGACACCATCCTTACCATACAGTGGTGAGAAATACACTCCTATGGTCTGTGATATGAAATGGAGGAAATAAGGAAAAGGCAATTACTTAGGACTCCCTTAATGCTCTGAGATGTTTTATTTTGACTTCAACACAACACAGTTGTGTTACAAAAGCCATTTGCATGTTATCCAGGACAGTGGAAATACAGGCAGGACTGAAATTTTGACCCTGCAGAAACCTTTAGAGCTTGAGGTGTGCTGCATGGGGTCTCCAATTTTCACATCATTTTGATAACTTAAATGCCAAAAAGCAAAAGGGGTTGAATGAAAATATAAAAAGAGAAACAACTTAAACAAAAAGTGGGTGGAAGTGCCTTACCAGTTTTGGGTGTCAAACTCAAATCTGTGTCAGAAGAAGAGGACTGTCGACTGTAGGACTTGGAAGGTGAAAAGGAATAGGTTTGGTTTTTCAGAGGGGTGGAGGGTCCTGATGAATATGTATTGGGATTGGGATCTTCATTGAAAGGAATCCTGCCAGAAGAAGGTGGAAACATATTCAGTAATCCTGTGCCAAAGGACCTGGCTGACAGCAGCATGATCCAAACACCAGGATGGGACTGGGGCAGGGCCAGCAGCTATTCCTTAGGAGCGAGGCTGGGAATGAGGCCAGAGGCAAAGAAATGCTGTTTTACCCTCTCAGCATCCTACACACAGATGCTCGTCATCTACAATGAAACAATTAAGCCAAATGAAAGGCATGAGATGTGACAAAAAAAAAAATATATATGCAAAATAAAAAAATTGAAAAGTTTATGGCTTAAAATCTGGTCAAATACACAATGCTTTGAGTTAGTTCAATAAAGAAAAATGATTTCAAATTATAGCTGTGTTTATACATATTTATACACTTATGTATATACATATATGCATTGTAAAGTAAAAGAAAAAGAGATATGTTTCCTTATCCTATAGCATCAGCAGCATGCCACAGCTAAAAACAGAGCAAAGAGGAGAATCTTTATGGGAACAACTCTATTGACAAACAGTTTATTTATGCACAGCTTGACTTACCTGCTCCCTACAACCATCTCTTCCACAAATGGCACAGACCCTTCCTAGAACCATTTCAAAGCCTACTGTATGTGAACGATGTTTGAAAGCAATTAGGAGCTCAAATCACCGTTTCCCAGTCGCATCACCTTACTGTTTTAGTTAATTTCCCAGAAGCAAGAGCGTGTGAAAGTGAAGAGTGTGGCCTTGTGGAAGAGACCGCGAGGCACGTCCAAGAGCCCATCCTGCATTCCCACGAGCTGCAGCGCCCCGAGGAACCGGGAGCAGAGGGCGGTGCCTGCCTACCCTGCCTGCCTGCCCTGGGGGCTCTGTGCCTGCGGCTGCCCGGCTGCGAGTGTCAGCAGACTCGTACCAGTGTAGATGAGAGTGGGAACAGACACAGAGAAGTTCTGAGTGAGCCGTGAGCCAGTAGCAGTGTGAATTGGGCTGTTGTGGGTCGAGCGGCATCCATGGCTGGGCGCGTGAACCAGCGGAGACCTGAGAGAGTTTGCAGCCAGGGCGGGAGAAAAGAAAACAATACACACAAACAGGTTGCAGAGTTATGTTACCAATGCTTTCAGGGAAGTTTAGACACAGGAGATCTCTTACTCTAAGCAGACTCTAAGAATTGCAATTCCTAGCATGCAAGAGTCCAGAGGAAATGAAAGCAGGGAAAGGAACAGCTCAAGCACTTGCTTGTGACTGCATCATTCATTTCTGGTAACAGGCCACCGAGTTAGTAAAGCCAAGAATAAGAAGAGTCAAATTAGTTGATTTCGCTGCCTTAGAGAAACATTCCTGTTTTTTGAACTGAGACAATATCCATCACCAAGTTGAACATGGATAATTTGGGAGGTGGAATTTCCACATTTTGCTGCAGAGTGAAAGCCACTGGTTTATTTATGGGTGCTTTTTAAGTTGATAATTACCAGGTCTACCTTTTATGTTTTTAGACACCATGTTGTTGCTCTATGCTGCACTGTATCCTGAAGTTCTTTTAAAAGCAATCTTTTAAAATCAAGACAAGTCAAACAAGCTATGCCGTGAAATAGATATCAGTAATTTTTAAAAGTCAGCTCATTTTGCAAAATTTTGCAGAGCAATTGATGCCTGCACAACAAAAATGCCTCACCTCTCTTGCAGTGACAGAACAGTTCAAGTTAATGAAAATGGTTACTTCAATTAATACATCTAGAAATACAGGATATGTAATACACTTCTTGGTGCAGTTTTTTTCTTCCTGCATTGCTCTACCAAATAGAAAATAACTAATTTATCCATGCAAAAATGTAGCAACAGTTGAAAGAAGACTGCAAGTATATTTCTATTAATTTGTATGCATATCAAAACATTCGAACTGTTTGGTGCTGCAGTACATATGACAAAAATCACAAAATTCTAATTCTCATAGTAAAAAGATTTCTCTGCAAGTTCACTGTCTACCTGTTTTGCCATAGTCCTTGTTTTACAACAGTAAAAAGCAAAGCACACAATAAAAGATGAGACCTCTTTGGGGTCACTGTCTAAATCACTGACAGAATGATCAGAATTCAACATTTATCTTCTCTTATACACTTATAAACTTTTAAGCCTGAATCAAAAGTGTATTTGTGAGAGGTCCTCACTGAAATGTTCATTGCACAAACACAGCATCAAAGCAGAACTAATTAAACTGGTGGATCACAAGGATATGTAGTACTATTGCTACATAAGTACAAAGAAAGTCATCTTAAGTAAGAACTACCACTCCAGCCTCTACTGAAATAACTCATCCAACCTAAAACATTTCAGAATTGTGGAATAGAAAACTTATTGCAGACAAATAAAACTACAAAAGAAAAAACAAAATCTGGGGAAAAAAGAAATCACACCGGTTATGAAAAACTGAATGAGTATGAAAGGAAGAGAGGTGAAACTTGTTTCCCTACAAGCTACTAATTTATACTTACTCCTTCATTTCTTTGGATGGGGAGTTACATGCAGGTAAAAATGCTGATGTGTTACTTAATTTATCCAACGTGCAGGCTGTTCCTATGGCTCTCACTACGAGTCCAGACTCTCCCTCCAAATCAAAACACTGCAAATATCCAACAACAGCATTTCCTCTCATTTCAAGCACCTTCAAGCCAATCTTCCTTTGCAATTCACCTACAAAACAAAAGGTAAAGCGCTCAGGGTTGCAGTGAACTCCTATTCTCTTTTGTGGTCTTTGACCCAGCTTTTGGAGTGCCAGCCAAGTCTGTAGAACAGGTAATAAATCCAATCCTACATGGCTGGCCGAGGAGCCAGCACAACTTCTGTCCCCTGCAACACTGTGTGATACCAATCCCTTACACAGCTTTTTGCTCTTCTCTCCAAATCCACTCTGACTGCCAAAGCAACATGTCACTTCAGATGTTTTTCCCACTAGTCTTTATTTCCAGTAGGCTTTTTTTTTTTCCTTTTTTCTACTTATTCAGAGAGAGGTCAAGATGTACTGTGGAATTCATGTAAGTTTCTAAATACTTCATACTTAATACTTCAATACAATAATAATACATAATATAATATATGTTATATATAATAATATATATAGTATATAATATATAATACTTCAAAACAATGCAACATCTTTAAAATCTCTATGAACAAGCACCTATAATTTCTTCATTTACCAATTCATTTAAGCATATTCCAACTTTTTTCCCACTTTTTGCCCCTCTACTGCAAACCAAACGCTGCCACTCCTATTACCTGCACACAAGGACTGAAAGGCCGTGACTGTAAGGAGCTGGTTTGCGGCTGATGCTCTTTTTTAGGAGGACATAAGTAAGAAACGAACGGTTCTGTGTAGCTGGATTGCCTTGGCAATGAGTGAGGAGGAGAAGACGATCCCTGCACGCTGAGGGGCAGGGGCAGTACCTGACATGAGCGAGATGAGCCTCTGGCGGGCCTCGTTGGAGGCGCGGGGCGTGCGGATGCGGTCGATCCACTGGTACTCGGGGTCCTCGTTCACCACCAGCTCCTCCACGAAGCCGTGGATCACCACGGCCCGGTAGCACTTGGGGATGGACGTGGCTGGGACAGACACAGCAACGGGGTGAGACAGCCTCTGAGCCAGGCACAGCAACAGAAACATCACGCTACACATCACAAGGATTTCATCCAGACCGTTTGCTGTGCAAACGTGGACACACCCTGGTAAGGTAACTGTCCAGTGTACCAGTTACAGCATGTACCTTTATGGAACCTTTTCACTTTGGGCCCCAAAATAACACCATAGGCACTGAAATGCAACTTCTGGACATTAAAAAAATCCCATCACTTATTTACATTGTTTGGAAACGTGAAGAGTAAAAACGTGTGAAAAAAGAAACGCAATTTGCGTTAATGTTATCTGCACTAGGTTTATGCAATGAGCTCCCTTCTCTGCCATGGGAAGGGAGACAGAAGAGGCAAGGAAAGAAAAGGAAGGAAAAAGTTTTTGTTCAAATAAACTTTTTTCCTCTACTTACTGCAAAAGAATTTGACGCCACAGGATGACTGCCTAAATCTGTTTAAATCATTGAAGAGATCTACTTTCACCACCACGTTGATCTCCCCACGTATACCTATCAATAAAAACCATGAAACACCAGAAGTTATAACAATGTGACTGCATCAACACAAAACCAGATCTAGAAATGATTTCCTGTTATGAGTAATTAATGCCAGAGGAGCAGGGAGCCATAGCCTTGCCTCAGGTCTGCTGCACAGACACAGGCTCAGAGGAAGTTTCTAGTTCTGCCAGCCTGTGGCACAATGAAAGCAACACTCCCCAAGTGCCTGTCTGCACCAAACAGAACTCTGTAAGAAAGATGGCACTGGGCAAAGAGAAGCCATCAGCCTCTTGATGCTGCAGTGGCCTCTGCTGCAGGGGGCTCTCTCTGCTCAGTCTCCTCCCTGAAACAATTTCAGAACTCCAGCTAAGATCCCCTCTGAAGTTCAGCCCAAGGAGAAATATTTATGGCTCTTTCTAGAACCCCAAAGTGACACAGGAAATGTTTGCAAAATACTTTAACTGTGACAAGAAATACACAAAAATAAGGTATTATACTCCTTTTAGACAGATGTTAATTTTCAACTATGATTAAACCTTACTAGAAATGGAATATTTTCTAACACAGAACGATTCCTTTTTGACTTCTCTGCTTTCCTGTTCTGAGCTTTTTCTTCTTTTCCCCACCCAGTAACAAAATCATTTCACACATTACAGATTCTGACATATTGAGGGCTAAACTTCCTGATGAGTCTGATCTCTCGTGTCTTCAGAAGCCTTTATCACACCAGCACATGACACAAACAGCAGCACCGGATTTGTTGATCAGCTCAGACACTGCTGCAATAAAATCAGCTGCATCTCCCTTCCAAAATGCCAACAGGAAGAAGCCTTCAGTTATTGTAACAGAAAATGCCTCAGGGTTATACATTTTCACAAACAATCATGTTGAGGTGAAAGAAAAAAAATTAATCCAAACTTATGAACATTATATTTATTCTTTTTTAAGGAAGCTCAATTAATGTTTGCCAAGAACCAAGATAATTACAATCTAGTGCTATGAGCATGAAAATGAAAGAATTATAATTTTACTAACATAGAAAAAAGCCATGAAATACCAACATATCTGGAAAAATATAGAGAAATCTAACTCTCTAACCTACCAGCTGTACACATCCTGAAAAAAGTGTTTGCATAATTTAGCTCCAGAAGAAAATGTGTCATAGAAAAACATGCATAGGATAAAAAGGTAATTTGAAAACCCAGTGTTTGCACAACATTTCTGCTCAACATAACTGGTTTAAATGCAAAAAATAGTGTGTATCAGTTATGATAAGCATCTGGTGAACACTATTAATTATTTCCCAACAATGACTGATAATTAGCTTTGAACATCATTAGGTCATTTAATTCACCCTGAATAACGAAGGAGAGGGACAATGGCAGCCACAGAGATGTTCTGCACGAAGGTATCCAAGCAGCAAGTTCATTGCTCTAAATTGACATTGGCTCTCTGAGACAAAAGCTGTTCCATCCAAATCAAAAGCAAAAATATCACTGCCTTTATTTTCTCGTGCCTTCAAAACATTCTGATGAAATCCACCAGTACTGAGAGCACTTGCTGCAGGGAAAAGGGATTTCATCCTGCTGAAGATATCTCACATCCTTGTCCCTTCATCTCAAGTGAAGTTTATCCCAAACCCCAGGAAGGCACACTTCAAGTAACCTCAGCAAAATTACATTTGTTTAGCAAACGTGGTAATTAGACAAATATGTCTGAGTCTTTTTTAATCAGAAATCTGCAGTAACTAGTGAAGATGTTTTCCCACTTGTCACAAGTCCTGTGGAAGGCATTCTGCCAAGCAGCAGTCTTTACTCCCCTGCCAGAAATTTTCTCGTGTCGGAAAATACAGGGGAAAAAAGCCAGGAAAGTAGTTTTCCAACTCCAAAGCTCAAGTTATTACAATTTCTGAATACAGCTTATGAGATTGCATGAAGCAGATTAGATTCCCAAGAAGCCTGTTTTAAATGAGCAAAGCTTACCATGAATGGTATCATAAATTGGAAACCAGCCTGAAATGACCGTGGCAGCCTCGCTGTAGAGCAGAGGGTCGATGTCTATGTACACCTTGCCAATGGCATCGTTGGCACTGTACGTGTCGTGGTCCAGGAC